AAGCCAGTACATGTCCAGGCCCGTCTGAAGTTTGCTAGAGTGCATTTGGATGATCCAGAAGAGGATTGGGAGAATGGCATATGGTCAGATGAAACCAAAATAGAACTTTTTGGTAAAAACTCAACTCGTCGTGTTTGGAGGACAAAGAATGCTGAGTTGCATCCAAAGAACAACATACCTACTGTGAAGCATGGGGGTGGAAACATCATGCTTTGGGGGTGTTTTTCTGCAAAGGGACCAGGACGACTGATCCGTGTAAAGGAAAGAATGTATGGGGCCATGTATCGTGAGATTTTGAGTGAAAACCTACAATGTGATTTTCTGGATATTTTTTTCTCATTTTGTCTGTCATAGTTGACGTGTACCTATGATGAAAATTACAGGCCTCTCTCATCTTTTTAAGTGGGAGAACTTGCACAATTGGTGGCTGACTAAATACTTTTTTCCCCCACTGTACTAATAATTCGTCTGTCTGCATATTTCAAGACATGGCATATGAGGGTGCAATCAGATACCCGATGGGTTGGACGATACTTTTCTCATCAATCATCTTGAAAAAACGTATACTTAAATACTAGAAATCAACCAATCCTCAATCATTAACACAATGGAAAGGTCAAATGCTTTATTATCTAAATGTTGAAAGTGTGTGGGCGACGGAGAGAAAGAAAATGATGCAGAGTGATGCGGGCGCTAGAGATGGGGGTGTGAGCAGGTGGGTCTGGACAGGGTGATGTTGTTGATGTTTGTGTGTGTTTGTATGCTGTCGTTTGTATGTGTATGTTTCATATTGTTAAAAATATATATACAGTAGATACCACACCACAGTAGATGGGACGTTCCCAAAACCTTGGGCTAGTTATAAAAACTGTGAACGAACAACACGGCGAGTAGCTAGTAGCAAGCAAGTCTGTGATCTCAGAACTTCTCTGGAAGACTCTTTTCGAAAACGTTTGTTTTTCACTAACGTTTCTCATCATGCCACTGATTGCTCAGTTTGGCCGGACGGCCAGCTCTAGGAAGAGTCTTGGTGGTTCCAAACTTCTTCCATTTAAGAATGATGGAGGCTACTGTGTTCTTGGGTACCTTCAATGCTGCAGACATGTTTTGATACCCTTCCCCAGATCTGTGCCTCAACACAATCCTGTCTATGAGCTCAATGGATAACTCCTTCGACCTCATGAACTGGGTAGGTACCTTCGTAGTTACTGTCAGGACCGGCCGGGGGTGTGGGCTGCATTTCTGCCTTGGGCAGAATACGCTCAAAACTCCCTCCTTCACTCCTCCACTAACCTCACATCCTTTCAGTGTGTTCTAGGCTATCTGACGTGCACTGTCAACTGCTTTTGCTCTGACCTGCACTGTCAAATGTGGGACCTTATATAGACAGGTGTGTGCCTTTCCAAATCATGTCCAATCAATTCAATTTACCACAGGTGGACTCAAATCACGTTGTAGAAACGTCTCAAGGATGATCAATGGAAACAGGATGCACCTGGATGCACCTGAGCTCAATTTCGAGTCTCATAGCAAAGGGTCTGAATACTTATGTAAATTAGGTATTTCTGTTTTTCATGTTTAATACATTTGCAAAAATGTCTAAAAACCTGTTTTCGCTTTGGCATTATTGGGTATTGTGTGTAGAGTGATGAGGGAAATAAATAATTTATCAATTTTAGAATAAGGCTGTAGTGTAACAACATTTATACAACGGGTGGGTCTAATCTTGAATGCTGATTGGTTAAAAGCGCATTCCAGCCGGTGTCAAGGGGTCTATTCCACAAGTTGCCACCGGCTAAATCTATGACGTTAAAATGCCTATTTACTCTGTTCCATCTGACTGCGCAATCCACTGTCTCATCAGCCCAGCCAGGGAACTTATAAACTTGATCGCCACTATAAAAAGCATCTAGACATTATCTCACATTTCCTTTAGACTAACATTTCATTTTCAACAGCAGAGATTTGTATAAACCTTGCTGTCTGTCTCTCCGACATTTGCAACATTGTTTCAATATTGAAATTCGATCTCCTGTTGTCTCATAGTAATGAACGTGTCTGGAGTCGGGACGAGATAGACAGGGAGGCAGCTGGCATCATTTTTATGGATTTTTACCAAAAAATGTCAGTTGAAAAAAGGTAAGTGATAATGACCTCGAAGCCGGTGTTTGGAGGATATATTGACATGGTTTGCCGGCCCTTGACTTTGTCTCGGGCCTAACATCACCCGTGCCAATACATCCTCCAAACACTGGCTTCGAGGGCATTATCACTTAAGTGGAAAAAGTCAAGGGGTCTGAATACTTTCCGAATGCACTCGCTATAAATGCCGGAGTTTGTGGTAAACTATGAGCAGACGAATTGACCGGAAGTAGGAACTTTAATTTCTAACAGTGAAATGAAAATACACTCATTTCAGATCGTGGTGAGGAGATATGTTATATTTATGACAAAAACGTAATGTTGTTAACATTAGAAATGATTATATAAGTGGCAGAGCCCGTGTGAAATTCTCCTTTAACCCTAATTTGTTCCAGGGGTACCGTACTACTATGGCTGACCCTGTAAAACAACACATTTCACTGTACCTATTTAGTGTGTGACAATAAAAAAATGTGGAATAGAGCTCACCCACTGGATCATATGCATCAGACTATAAGGCACTTTGATGGCTAGAGCTCATGAAACAGCCTACAAGGCAGCATCCTGCCTTATCAGCCTCTGAGGCTGCTATTGAATCTGATCAAGCTCTGAGGCTGAAAGCTAATCTAATCATCCTGTCAGGAATGGACCTCTGTAAATTTAAATATTATTCACAAAACATGAAGTGTTATAATTATACAATTATGCAAGCTAACAATCAGCATAAATCGCTAACAAGACTGCCTAGCTAACTAGCTAGCTAGCTCACAAGACTAGCTAGCTAAGTGAGCTTGCTAAGCAGCCCTGCTAGCAAACTAGCTAACAAGCACAACAAATATTGCTCATCTAAAACAAATCAGCCCTGTTGTTGTTAGTATCGGTGATATATCAGTATAAAGTTGCCTAAATTTTGAAAGATGCTAGCTATATTACCTTTTTTCCTCCATGGAGTGAACGTAATAAGTGTTACATGGAGAAAATAAGACCTCTCTGAAATGAAAATGGATGGCCCTCCCTTCAGCAAAATATATTTGACCTAAACCCTCCCTGAACACTTAAAAAAAACTAGTGACCCTTACCTATACCCAAAATAATAATTAAAACAAATAGTGGATAGCAGAGAACATGTCTGACATTTACCCTCACTTCTTGGACAGACCAGTTTTAGAAACTGTTCTTTGTCCTGTAAGTATTACATGGCAACGCTGTCACGATCGTCGTAAGAAGCTGAATGTCAAAGAAACAAAACAATGATATCCCCATATGCATCAGAGTCACATCTTTCCCAGGGTATTTTACAGCTTGTTTCTAGCATAACGCATTGCAGACCAAAGCACTGTTATAGATCACTTTATATAATCAGATATGTTTTATTTTCTTCAAAATCTTAAACTAACAAGGGGTAGGCCTGTGCTTTTTGCCATTTTCATTCATAAAAAGTAGACCTATGGCATATCCTCTTATACCCCCTCAATTCGAGTCTTGGTTTTAACTTAACAGCCCTTCACTGACACGGTGGTAGGCTATTGAAAAGGTGCATGGTGGATGGAGGAATTGACTGACAAATCTATGGATATAGCAGCCTATAGCCTAATTTCGTCTGTCAAACAGGTATGCCTACTTCTTATTTCTTCAGTAGGAAGAAATAGGCTCCAACACAAAGCCCTCTTGTTGTTAATAAAGTCTAATTAAAATGAAGACTGTTTAAATTAATTATGCCTACTCAAATGTGCCTACTTTCAGCACCATGAGCTGTCCATTTCCGATTGATTTTTTCACAGCTGCTGCTTCAAGTTTCAGCACCACAATGATGTAAATGTAAATGACTCTAATCTGGATTATTCTGAAGTCTCTAATAAATAGGCCTACATCATGGGCAAGAAACATATTGTTTTTAATCAAATCAATTATAGTAGTAGCAAGCTATCAAAGTTGACCTCTGGTCCTCCTCCTCATATTCACGCTCTCCTTTTTACACTGAACACAACATAGGCTATAGGCTAGGCCGTGCGTAAGATTATACTAGGACTAATCCCCAAAAATATTTTTGGAAGAAGCCTTTGACTCTCCTCATGAATTGCCACCGTAGGCCTACACAGCACAGCCATTTGTTAGGTAGCACACAAAACGTTTTTGATCAGCAAGAGCAGAGCAGGTTTGCTCTGTGCTTCACCAAGCATGCACTTCGTAGCCTTTAGTCTATGGATCATTTGATTGAGACCACACTTAATTTTTTTGCCTATAGGCACACTTGATATTGCGTGCCCAGCAGAGAATCAGAGATGAGGGGTGGCATAGGGCACACATAGATATATAGCCTAATACTAATTCTAAAACACTGAGAAATATTGAAATGTCATCAATTACAAATTGCATGACCCTCCCCTGGACTAGATTTTTTTATTTATTTATACTAAACACTCCCCTTGACTGAAATTGAAAAAGCATGACCCTCCCCCATTTTCCTCTAGGTACCCATTATATTCATTTCGATCCATCCCCTAGGCTTCAGCTTTCTGGCTCTGTTTGAATGTGGCTCGATGGCTCGTTGTTCCTTGCATGCGATTGGCTCTAGTCTTGGAGGCGGAACGCAGCCTGGGATACAGGTTGCCTGTCAGGCGCTGTTCAGGACTTAAATGCCCAACGAGCTTCTCTCAACATGCTACGAAAAAGTCACTTCCGGTCGTAGCTGTTGCTGCGTTCACATACTGGTCGGAACTAGGAAATTCAGAAATGTCCGACTTGCTAATAGGTGGTAGTTATACACGTGCCGCGTTAAATCAGTTAGCAAGTCGGAATTTTCGAGTTTCCTAGTTCTGAATAAACGCGGCATGTATACCGCCTAGTCGAAACCACTTAGTTATGGCGGCGCGCTGTCCATTTCCGGATTTGTTTGAAGGCTGTGTTGACGGCGTATAGTTGGGACTTTTGGCATATTTCGTCAACCAACTTCAATCTGTCAACGTAACTAAGCAAAGTTAGAAGTGCATTGTTTGGATTTTATAAGGACGTTTCCTTTTATGCACTTTTCTAGCTTGCCAGGGCTAGCTAAACTAGCGACCGGGTACCAGCGAATGCTAGTTGCTACTCGTTTGGATTCATCGCTTTCATTTTTAATGACGGTTTAGCTAGTTTGGCTACTTTTTAAAAGGTATGTTTTCATTCATTTTCAGTCGAGTGTGGCGAAAGTGGGATTTGAACTGAGCACACGATTGCTATTAGTCGGTGTCTTTACTTGACCTGCAGGTGCAGGTTCTGGAGGGAAGAGGCTGGTAGAATACTGTTTCAGTGACAGTCAACATGCTGAAGACCCGTCAGTGTTTACTTGGCATTCGCACTTTCCTCGGAGTGACGTCTAGAATATGGGGGTTAATTCTGTACATACTCAGGAAACATTTAAGGACGGTGAGTATTCTAGAACTAAATATGTAATACATTGGCCCCTACGATGGGATTTCCCCAAATCAATATCACTTGGATAACTGATAATGGTAGTTGGATAAACTAATAACACACTTGGCCCATTTGGACTTGCCAATGCTCTTGAGACAGTCCTTCTGAAGCTCACACACACACACCAATATGTATATTACAAGGTCTGAATGGTACTTCTACTGTACTATATGATAACTGAAATATTGGAAAAGGTTATTGTTTTGTAGCCACAACAACTCTGACTGTGAGTATACATTTACACCTACTGAAATTCCTTCTTTACTTCTTGGTTTTGCTCATGCTAGGAAAGCAAAAAATGCATTGCACAGGAAGAAGCAGAGTTGTATTCTGACATCTGTCATGGGCAGTGTTTATGACACTGTATGGTGATGATTGGACTCTGGACTTTGGATATGGATTTAGATGTTTCAGGTGTAACTAAGCAGAGCTGGGAACTCTATACACACTCTGAAATAGTATTTTATTTCAAGTATCATACTTGAAAATAAGAAATGCAAGAGCACCAGGATAAACCAAAACATCTGAATCTGACTCTACTTTTTACAAAAAAGTGCAAATGCTGACTTTTACAAGACCTAAACCAAGTTCTCTCATAAAATATGATTATCATTTTTCTGAAAATATTTTTTTACCAGTTTAGCTGACAATTGTATATTGCCTAGTAGAAATGCTTGCTGTATAGATGGTTGTATATTCCCTCTCTCTGTTGACGCACTGTAGTGTAACCTAGAGCTTCCCATCTGTTCAGATTTGATAATGGCTCTTCAGACAAACAACCCATTAGGATGACCTTTCCCTGTTTTATGTAACCACTTGACTAAGGGCGTCATTTCTCTCCAACTAGCCAACTATAATCAGCGTGGTAAGCCCTATTAGCCACTCACTCCATTGTTCAGCAGATCCTATAACACGTTTTTGCTGCAGAACCGAACCAATCCACTGTAGTAGGAAAAGGAGAAAGTAATAGCTGGACATTCTGTCAATAATGCGTGGTGACTGTAAGCAGGTTTTTGTTTGTATCAGCTCTACAATACCAGCTAAAGTATCCTACTCTATCTGTGTGTGTGCACAAAGGCCTCACAAGGCTGCCTGCCTTGAAACTACCCGTTGCGTTGCATCTGACAGTCCTTGACAGCTGAGGATGTGTGTGCTTGAGTATGTGTCTGTTAAATATAGCCCCGGTGCAGAGGGCAAATTGAAGTGTGAGTCCTGGAGGAGAACCACTGTGTAGGTGTCTAATCTATGTTGGAGGAATATTTGAAAGAACAGAACAGTGACAAACTGTGTTGGTGTCATTGGAACTTAATTTCCACATGTCTGGAACCCATTGAAATCTTATGTAGTTCCAGGTGCATAGTAAAAAACTAAATATTTGACAACTCCAGCACACTGCTATTGCTCTACAATGTATTTAACAAATGGCCTATTGTGTTTATAAAAAAAACAGTTTTGGGAAATTGTCATTCTTCAGGTTCTCAATTGTGACAGTTGCTCATCTCGCCCTCTGCAGATAATCCAGTACCAAACAGTGCGTTATGACACATTACCTCTGTCGCCTGTGTCCAGAAACAGACTCAGTAAGTATCCTGTTTACTTTCAACAATACTATAATAATAATATATTTATTTTATATAGCGCTTTACATTATACAGATAATCTCAAAGACGCTTAAAAACAAAAGTACATGTAGTTCTTGGGACGAACAAGTCAGTAAGACAGGTCCGGATCATCAGGCCAGCCCTTGCAATCCCCAGCTTCTCTGCAGACTCAGTGGGTAGAGACTCCTCAAACGACATGTAGCACCTACCTGGGTGATGCCGGCATCCTTTAGATTTCTCTAGTGCGCCAGAGGCTCACTACACATCAATTATTGGGATAGTCCTCCTTGGAGTGAGAGATCCACTACAACAAGCCTCTGTGATGTCCAAGCCTGTGCTATCTCCAGTTTAAAATAAAAATGAAAGCAAGCTAGCCTCTGGGCTATCTGGACAAAACTGACTTGCCGGTCTTATGAGACCGCTGAATAGGTATATAAATAATTAAAACTTACTAGGCTAACAAAATAAAATAAAAAATGCAATAAAAAAACACAAACAATAAAATATTTTAAAATGTACAGGAGCTCTCTGCCTAGTCTACCTCATGGCGCCATGGCAACCACAAATTCATAGTGTCTTATAAGAAGGTCAAAGGGTCTTAGCCTGGTCCCAGATCTGTTTGTGCTGTCTTGACAATCTTATTGTCGCTATCATGATTAGCAGGACATTGACAGTAAGAGTTGGTGTGACGGAACAAACAGATCTGGGACTAGGCTATGAAACCAGGGATCTATGGCTTAGGTAGAAATTGATAAATGAGAGGTTACTTGTTTAGTTTTTCTCTCTGGTATTGACTGTGATTGGGCTCTTGCTCATCAGATGCTGTTAAGAGGAAGATTCTGGTGCTGGATCTTGACGAGACCCTAATTCACTCCCACCATGACGGGGTGATGAGACCCACAGTGAGACCAGGCACTCCACCAGACTTCATCCTAAAGGTAATACGTTCACTGTCTGACTGATTTTAATTAACGTCACCTTGTCAACACACACACCAGACTGACCAACACTCATCGTTCACTCATTAACTCCAGGAATGTGTCTCCTAACCTTACCTGCTTTCTCTTATTTTCTTTCTTTTTCTTTCTCTCTCTTGTGAAGGTGGTAATCGACAAACATCCTGTCAGGTTTTTTGTACATAAAAGACCGCATGTGGACTTCTTCTTAGAAGTGGTGAGTGATAGGCCTTTTGTGTCAATATCCAAATAATTATTCAAATATACTAGTAAGCATGGACATTATGGAGGATTAATTGTCTATGTAAATGAGTTTGTGTTTGTAGGTTTTCAAGAGGCTAAGGAAATTATAAGTATTGTGTTTATTCTCTCTACTGTAGCTCTTGGAGATGAGGATAAATGTGTTTGTGAAAAGTGCATTGACCTAGCATTAATTCTAATTTGAGGTTGTAGACTACAGTTAATTCATTTGTAATTGATTAATCACTTGTACTTATTTTGAACACATTTGTCTGGTGGTTCTCTCTTGCCTGTTTGTTTCTCTTTTCTTAGGTGAGTCAGTGGTATGAGCTGGTGGTTTTCACGGCCAGTATGGAAATCTATGGCTCAGCTGTGTCTGACCAGCTAGACAAGGACAGGGACATCCTGAAACGAAGATACTACAGACAGGTAAACAAACCCACTGACATGTTCACTTCAGCTCTGTACAGTTATGCACCCTGCTCAGTCTTACAGTCTGAGGGCTGGTTTCCTGGACATAGATTAAGCTTAGTCCTAGACTAAGCACTTTCAATTCACTTTTAATTCTGTGTCCAGGGAACCGGCCCTGAATGTCTATTTGTCATTATTTAGAGCAGGGGTGTTAAATATACGGCCCACGCCGGATCCGACCCGCAAGCCCATTCAATCCGACCTACGGGTGGTTTGAGAAAAACACCTAGCTCAATCGACATTGACATAACTAAAACCAAATCGAAACTGTGTAGAAATGATAATGGACCTACATTTATAGTCTCTTCACTCTGTCCAGCTTGCTAACAGTCATCAGTCAGGGAGCATCGAAAATTCCAAAAGCAATGGATAGAGGACTATGAAGACCGAATGTGGCCCACGGGGAAAAATTAGTTTGACACACCTGATTTAGAGGTTCTCTCTGGAAAGGATGTACAGTTAGACTTATCACTCATTTGCAACATATAAAACTCAAGTTTATTCCTCTTTCTTTTCTCTGTCTAGCACTGTACATTGGATCTGGGTAGTTATATTAAAGATCTTTCTGTGGTGCACAACGATCTATCTAGTGTAGTCATCCTGGACAACTCGCCTGGGGCCTACCGCAGCCACTCTGGTAAGCAACTGCTACGATGTTATATTTACTACATGTACAGTGCCTTCAGAAAGTATCCACACCCCTTGACCTTTTCCACATTGTTGTTACAGCCTGAATTTAAAGTAGATTACATTTTGATTTTGTGTCATTGATCTAGACACAATACCACTTAATCTGAAAGTGGAATTTCGTTTTTTAAATTTTTTACAAATTAAGTAAAAATGAAAAGCTGAAATGTCTTCATTCAATAACTATTCAACCCCTTTGTTATGGCAAGCCTAAATAAGTACAGGAGTACATATTTGCTTAACAAGTCACATACGTTGCATGGACTCACTGTGTGCAATAATAGTGTTGAACATGATTTTTGAATGACTACCCAATCTCTGTACCACACACATACAATTATCTGTAAGGTCCCTCAGTCGAGAAGTACATTTCAAGCACAGATTCAACCACAAAGACCAGGGAGTTTTTCTAATGCCTGTAATAGGAAAAAACTGAGGATGGATCAACAAGACGACATCCGACGTTCCTTAGTGGCCTAGTTACAGTTTTGACTTAAATCGGCTTGAAAATCTATGGCAAGACTTGAAAATCTATGGCAAGACTTGACAATGGCTGTCTAGGAAGATAAACAACCAACTTGACAGAGCTTGAAGAATTTTTAAAAGAATAATGTGTAAATATTGTACAATCCAGGTATGCAAAGCTCCTAGAGACTTACCCCAAAACACTCACAGCTGTAATGGCTGCCAAAGGTGATTGTATTGACAAGGGGTTGAATACTTATCTAAACGCATCTAATCAAGATACACTCGTCAAACATCTCATTCCAAAATCATGGGCATTAATATGGAGTTGGTCCCCCCTTTGCTCCTATAACAGCCTCCACTCTTCTGGGAAGGCTTTCTACTAGATGTTGGAACATTGCTGCGGGAACTTGCTTCCATTCAGCCACAAGAGCATTAGGGAGGTCGGGCACTGATGTTGGGCGATTAGGCCTGGCTCGCAGTCAGCATTCCAATTCATCCCAAAGGTGTTCGATGGAGTTGAGGTCAGGGCTCTGTGCAGGCCAGTCAAGTTCTTCCACTCCGATCTCGACAAACCATTTCTGTATGGACCTCGCTTTGTGCACGGGGGCATTGTCATGCTGAAACAGGAAAGGGCCTGCCCCAAACAGTTGCCACAAAGTTAAATTTTTTACATTACATTTTAGTCATTTAGCAGACGCTCTTATCCAGAGCGACTTACAGTTAGTGAATACATATCTTTTTATACTGGCCCCCCGTGGGAATCGAACCCACAACCCTGGCGTTGCAAACGCCATGCTCTATCAACTGAGCTACATCCCTGCCGGCCATTCCCTCCCCTACCCTGGACGACGCTGGGCCAATTGTGCGCCGCCCATGAGTCTCCCGGTCGCAGCCGGCCGAAGTTGGAAGCACAGAATCGTCTAGAATGTCATTGTATGCTGTAGCGTTAAGATTTCCCTTCACTGGAACTAAGGGGCCTAGCCAGAACCATGAAAAACAGCCCCAGACCATTATTTATCCTCCACCAAACTTTACAGTTGACACTATGCATTGGGGCAGGTAGCGTTCTCCTGGCATCCACCAAACCCAGATCCGTCTGTCGGACTGCCAGATGGTGAAGCGTGATTCATCACTCCAGACAACGTGTTTCCACTGCTCCAGAGTCCAATGGTGACGAGCTTTACACCAGTCCAGCCGAAATTTGGCATTGCACATGGTGATCTTAAGCTTGTGTGCGGCTGCTCGGCCATGGAAACCCATTTCATGAAGCTCCTGACGAACAAGTATTGTGCTGACGTTGCTTCCAGAGGCAGTTTGGAACTCGGAAGTGAGTGTTGCAACCGAGGACAGACGATTTTTACGCGCTTCTGCACTTAGCGGTCCCGTTCTGTGAGCTTGTGTGGCCTACCACTTTGCGGCTGAGCCGTTGTTGCTCCTAGACCTTTCCACTTCACAATAACAGCACTTACAGTTGACCGGGGCAGCTCTAGCAAGGTAGACATTTGACGAACTGACTTGTTGGAAAGGTGGCGCCACGTTGAAAGTCACTGAGCTCTTCAGTAAGGCCATTCTACTGCCAATGTTTTGTCTATGGAGTTTGCATGGCTGTGTGCTCGATTTTATACAACTCTGTCAGCAACGGATGTGTCTGAAATAGCCAAATCAACTAATTTGAAGGGGTGTCCACATACTTTTGTATATGTAGTGTATATTAGTGTTTTATGTTTAAAAAAATCGTATAATTTTTCTGCCACTTTGACATAAGAGGATTGTGTGTGGATCGTTGACAAAAAAGCAGAATTAAATCAATTTGAATCCCACTTTGTAACTTAACAATGTGTAAAAAGTCAAGGGGTGTGAATACTTTCTGAAGGCGCTGTACATGTGCGACAACTCACACAGGAATATCTCATGTGTAATTGCCTATCTACCACACTGTTATTCCAAACTAAGTTTAGGTAGATGCCAAGTGCCATTTTCCTGGGATTGAGTTTGTACCCAAAAGGGGCTTATTGGGTTATGACCCTTTTCTTCTTTTGTCATCATTAATCTGTCCTGTCTCCTTATCCTCTTGTCAAACATTTGTGTGTTCACCTCACAGACAATGCAATACCCATCAAATCGTGGTTCAGCGACCCAAGCGACACAGCTCTTCTTAACCTGCTACCCATGCTAGACGCACTGAGGTATGTCTCAAAGATATTACACCTGTGATGAGCTGCCAAGACTAGTGACCCCTCATCATAACTCATTAGTATGTTGTTTTTCCATAGTAATGCTCCAGTTCCTCTTTTTCTTCCTCTCAAATCTCAGGTTCACCTCAGATGTCCGGTCCGTCCTCAGTCGAAACCTCCATCAGCATCGGCTATGGTGATTCGCCATCGGTGCTAGCGTCCGCAGCTCCACTTCGTCTTTTTAGAATGCCTTCTCTGCTGGTTGTTGCACGACCCCCCTCCTCTGCTCTGCCCACATCTCCCTCAGCTCCATGGTGTGTGACTCTTTTTAAGAAGGGTGAGGACAAAGACTGGGGGCCACAAATACAGAGGGGGGAGCTACGTATAAGGAAGGAAAACAAAGTGGAGAGGGCAAACTTTTTATTTTTAATTTTTCCTGAATGGAAACTCTTGCCTTAAAGTCCTTGGATTCTGGGAGTGCATGTCGAGTGTTTGTGTAAACGTGAGAGTATGCTTGCATTAGGTACATTTTTTGTTGTTGTTGATGAAATCTTTTAAACTATTGACTATGGAAATACTGATGATATGAGACTATGAAGAAACCAGTCATTCCTTATATCCCATCACATCTTATTATGGTTTATTTCCCTAGAACTCAACTTTCTCCACTACTTTACCCAGTCTATCATTCTTTCTCAACATTTCTGTAAATCTCTTGCTTTTACCATCTACAACTAATAGATAACTGATCAAGCCTCAATAGAACTGAATATTTACTCAGTGGTTAGTGATGGACTGGGCCTGGTCAGGTTGGCAATATCTTTCAATTATTGGGATGTATGGATTTTTACTGAGGAGTTGAACAGGTTGAAATGAAATAATGGAAGTTGCATCCATTTGTTCAGAACGTAATTTTTTTACTCTAAAATAAATTGCTGTATTCTATTCAGAGATTTACCAAAATGACAGAAATGACTTGAATGTTGTGTAGTTAATACAGAAGTAAGATTTTGACCATACTTCTCCATCCACAGAGCAAAGTTACGTTTTATTTTCATTTTTATCAAGCTTTGTATTCATGAGCATGTTTTCTTCCTTGGACTTTTTCAAGCCTGAATTACACCCATTCTCTTTCACATTATCCCATTTCCTTCAATGTAACTCCAACATCCTGGCCCCATTGAACAATGTAAGCTAAGGCCTTGGATGGGTTTCTGTTGGTCAGACATCAAGTCTATCAGTGTTTCCAATAAATTGCTTGGCATCATACTCTTTTACTGACCTTCATTCATGATTGTTGTCTCATGTAGTTTCCTACTGCTTCTATTTTGTGAGCTTTATTCACTGCATTCCATGGTGAATCTCTGAAACATAAAATTCAGAGCAATATTTTAGCATTGGCTGACGTGGATCCATACGGTCTATACATGGATCACACACGTGACTATTCTAAATTTATTAATTATTTAATTGAGAGACTTTTCCTGTAAGTGGAAATTCATTTTCTGACAAATACAGGCCTCTCATCCAACCTGGAGCAGGACAGAAGGGTCTGAATTGGGCAAGTGTCCAGGGGGTGTTTCCTGAAAAGGGGCCCCTTCTTTCTTCTCATTTAGTCCTGCGAACTTGCCAAAAACTGTCATATTGACCATGATATTGCAATATGGTGTAATTGTAGACCGCAATTTGGGGTGTTTCTTGATATCAACGCCCATTGGTACCTGCCATTGGTCAGTTCCTGCGCTGTTTCACACTGTTTATAGAGGAAACTTATTTTTTACTTGGCGTGACTGTCTGTAGATGGCACATGATGCAAAACTATTGATCAGAATGAGCCTTTAGCATTTTGTACCGCTATGAAACAGCACTAAACTTGAAATGTACTCTTGTCCAACACCTCAAAATCCAATTGATAGCCTACAAACAACAAACTGTAAAAAGAGTCAGTTACACAGTTAACATGAACGTTTATTCAAGACCATTAAAAGTTGACAACTTTACAACAGTCTAACACTGACAAAAACAAAACAAAAATGTGACTGTGTGTATTTCTGGCAAAGTGAGATAATATAACTGGTGGCTCCAGTTATCCTCAGCTAGAAACCTCAATCTTAAAACCTGATCTCCACTGTATATAAATATACACTATACAGTGGGGGGGAAAAGTATTTAGTCAGCCACCAATTGTGCAAGTTCTCCCACTTAAAAAGATGAGAGAGGCCTGTAATTTTCATCATAGGTACAAGTCAACTATGACAGACAAATTGAGAATTTTTTTTCCAGAAAATCACATTGTAGGATTTTTAATGAATTTATTTGAAAATGATGGTGGAAAATAAGTATTTGGCCAATAACAAAAGTTTCTCAATACTTTGTTATATACCCTTTGTTGGCAATGACACAGGTCAAACGTTTTCTGTAAGTCTTCACAAGGTTTTCACACACGGTTGCTGGTATTTTGGCCCATTCCTCCATGCAGATCTCCTCTAGAGCAGTGATGTTTTGGGGCTGTCACTGGGCAACACAGACATTCAACTCCCTCCAAAGATTTTCTATGGGGTTGAGATCTGGAGACTGGCTAGGCCACTCCAGGACCTTGAAATGCTTCTTACGAAGCCACTCCTTCGTTGCCCGGGCGGTGTGTTTGGGATCATTGTCATGCTGAAAGACCCAGCCACGTTTCATCTTCAATGCCCTTGCTGATGGAAGGAGGTTTTCACTCAAAATCTCACGATACATGGCCCCATTCATTCTTTCCTTTACACGGATCAGTCGTCCTGGTCCCTTTGCAGAAAAACAGCCCCAAAGCATGATATTTCCACCCCCATGCTTCACAGTAGGTATGGTGTTCTTTGGATGCAACTCAGCATTCTTTGTCCTCCAAACACGACGAGTTGAGTTTTTACCAAAAAGTTATATTTTGGTTTCATCTGACCATATGACATTCTCCCAATCCTCTTCTGGATCATCCAAATGCACTCTAGCAAACTTCAGATGGGCCTGGACATGTACTGGCTTAAGCAGGGGGACACGTCTGGCACTGCAGGATTTGAGTCCCTGGCGGCGTAGTGTGTTACTGATGGTAGGCTTTGTTACTTTGGTCCCAGCTCTCTGCAGGTCATTCACTAGGTCCCCCCGTGTGGTTCTGGGATTTTTGCTCACCGTTCTTCTGATCATTTTGACCCCACGGGGTGAGATCTTGCGTGGAGCCCCAGATCGAGGGAGATTATCAGTGGTCTTGTATGTCTTCCATTTCCTAATAATTGCTCCCACAGTTGATTTCTTCAAACCAAGCTGCTTACCTATTGCAGATGCAGTCTTCCCAGCCTGGTGCAGGTCTACAATTTTGTTTCTGGTGTCCTTTGACAGCTCTTTGGTCTTGGCCATAGTGGAGTTTGGAGTGTGACTGTTTGAGGTTGTGGACAGGTATCTTTTATACTGATAACAAGTTCAAAACAGGTGCCATTAATAGAGGTAACGAGTGGAGGACAGAGGAGCCTCTTAAAGAGGAAGTTACAGGTCTGTGAGAGCCAGAAATCTTGCTTGTTTGTAGGTGACCAAATACTTATTTTCCACCATAATTTGTAAATAAATTCATTTAAAATCCTACAATGTGATTTTCTGGATTTTTTTCCCTCAATTTGTCTGTCATAGTTGACGTGTACCTATGATGAAAATTACAGGCCTCTCTCATCTTTTTAAGTGGGAGAACTTGCACAATTGGTGGCTGACTAAATACTTTTTTCCCCCACTGTATACCACGGCTTGCTGTCTTGTGATCTGTCTCATGTTGTACCGATTATCAACATGGACAAGACTGAATTCTGTTGAATTGTCAACTGGACTAAATTCTTATTAGGAAGATGTTGCTGTTCAGAATGACGTGTTTATGACTGTTGACGTTCACAGGAATCTGCAAATGCTATGTTGAAAGAGCACCACGGATGAAGGAGGGGGAGGAAAACGGACAGCTTCTTTCTACTACACCTTCACAAAGTCATACAATGTTTGCTTCATGAAATAAATACAGAATTATTTTAGTTAATTCTGTTTCTAATGTTTTTTATGCTGGATGTGAGTAATTTAGCAGGTCTATAGTATAATGTATTGTTTTGAAATGTTATCATAAATATCTATTCAGTCACAACTCACTACTATTATTTTTTGTTGGCTTTTTCAATGTTTGCTAAAATAAGATGACATTAGATATTTGCTAGCCAGCTATTCGCAAAACATTGGATTACCAACTAGAGCGATGACGTCTCAGTTTGCAGCACATTTTCACAGGGATGTACATACACTGAACAAAAATATAAATGCAACATGTAAAGTGTTGGTCTCATGTTTCATGAGCTGAAATAAAAGATCCCAGACATTTTCCATACGCAACAAAAGTTTATTTCTCTGAAATGTTGTGCACCCTGGTCCTTCTTCCGCTGCCTCCTTAACAGTAATACATTCATTTTTAGAAAACATATTTTAATCCAGCCTTTGTGGTTTGGAAAGTATAGTGACTATTGCTTGAATTTATTTATCAAACAGATGGGGTTTTGGAAAAGTAGGTACTTTTCTCAAAACAACCCCATCTGCTGGATGGAAAGTGTCAATAAAATGTGTTTTCACGACTTACAGCTTGATACTTCAGACAACGAAAAATGGTCAAAGGTCATACCTGTATGCATTTTGGGGTATATTGACACATAATGGAAAGTATTGGGATGTGCTTTATTATCACATGGTACCCTAGATGATAACTACACCAAATTTCCCACAGAACAAGGATACCCATTGGAAAAGTTTCATATAGTCATCATAGATTTAGTGTAGAATCAGTCACAGCAGCCTATTTTCAAATTGGCCACGATTCATTTCAATGTGAAGGAACTGAATAGATTTTTCAATGCCATAAAGGAATAGATATTGGTGTAATAAGACCAACAAAGGCTGAAAATGTGTGTTACTGTGAGGAAAATGATAAAAGATGGCCCAGAGATGTGAGTTATATGTATTTAACAAAATATTACCATGGCGTCTGCTAAATTACTAAAATGTAAATGTAATAATGGTAGAAATATGACATATGACAAAACGCAGAGAATAAGGTCTGAGGATAAGACGGGTTTAGGAGATCTTTTATGTTTTCTTTTATGAGATAATATCAGTCATTCAACATTACTTTAATTAATTATGAAGCCTTTAAGTGCTTTATTTGCTTTTTTCAATACATAAAAGTTAAAAGAATCATAAAATGTGACATTAGCTGATGAAAATTATCTCATAGAACAAAAACGTATAACATTTCGGGGGGTCCTAAGCCTGTATTTACCAAATAGGTTGTTTTTGGCAATTATAAAAAAAAAAAAAAAAAAAACGCTATTCATTGCCCCATAGGCTGTCGAACGAACAATGGCGGAGTTACTACCTACAAAAAGACGCCATTACTATTTCTCTCTATAGCTGGGACAGGGAGCTGGCTGGATGTAGTGGCGCCCCCTGGTGGCTTGACTGTGGGCGGAGGTCGGCCTACCCTCCCTGGGTTGCCCCAGCCCGTGCAGGGAGCTGGCTGAATGTAGTGGCGCTCCCTGGTGGCTGTGGGCGGGGGTTAGGATCCTTCCGGGGGTTGCCCCCCCCTTACTGGGCCCTTTCCCCCCATCTCCTTGGGACAGGGAGCTGGCTGGATGGAGTGGCGCCCCCTTGAGGCCTTGGCAGGGGGCGGAGATCAGGCACCCTCTCCGGGGGTTGGCCCCCCTTCTCTGAGTTGGCTCCAGCACTCTCCGGCCCTCTCCCCCCTTTCCCTGAGGCAGGGAGCTGGGTGGATGTAGTGGCGCCCCCTGGTGGCCGTGGGCGGTGGTCGGCCCCACTCTCCCGGTGTTAGCCCTCCTCTCCCTGGGTCGGCCCCATCCCTCTCTGGCCTTCTCCCCCGATCTCCCTAGCGCAGGGAGCTAGGTGGATGTAGTGGCGCCCCCTGGTGGCCCTGGGCATGGGTCGGCCCCCCTCCCTGGGTCTGCCTCTGCTCTCTCTGGCCCTCTCCCCCATATCGCTGGGAAAGGGAGCTGGCGGGATGTAGGTGGCCTTGGCCAGAGGCGGGGGGTCGCCCCTCCTTCATTGCTTCAGCCCCTGTCTCTAGGCGTCGGCCCACCTAGACTCTGGAGCAAGACAGAGTCTCTGGATTAGAGCGTTTTAATCACCTGTAAATGCACACTGGACAGGTGTAAAGAACATGTGTAAAAATGACCATAACAAGCGTTCTAATCACCTGTAAATGCCCACTGGACAGGTGTAATGAACACGTGTAAAAATAATCATAACAAGCGTTCTAATCACCTGTAAATGCACACTGGACAGGTGAAATGAAAAAGTGTAAGAATGACCATAACATAATAAGTATATAGGTTATATATTGTGAGCTTTTGTGAAAGAGCACAGTTAGAGATCGCATATAGAAGCATACCAGATGGACATCATGAAAATGATCGGAGGAAGTTCAGGAGTAAAAATAAACAAAATATAATTAGTGACTGTGTCCATAAAATGTATATAGTATGTATGAGCATGAAGTAGAGGACTAATCATTGTTGTTCACTAGTTTACTCCAAATAGGGAGGGGATGGTGGGGTTGGAAAGTAATAAAGGGAAATATATATATTTTTAAAGGATGTATATATGTATGTATGTATATATATATATATATACAGTATATATATGTACGTCGTCCGGGTTTGGCCGGTGTAGGCCGCCATTGTAAATAAGAATTTGTTCTTAACTGACTTGCCTAGTTAAATAAAGGTAAAATAAAATAAATAAAATATATGCGAGAAAAAAAACAAGAAAGAAAAAACATGTTATATGCATATATTTTATTTATTTTATTTTACCTTTATTTAACTAGGCAGACAATTACATTGATGGAAGTTACAATCTATCTGCAATATTAAAGCTGATCTACCCCCTAAAAAATGACCATAACAAGCATTCTAATCACCTGTAAATACGCACTGGACAGGTGTAAAGATCATATGTAAAAAATACTTTTGACACTTGAAAAAAGCAAGTGAAAAATGATCATTATAAGTGTTAAGACGTGTTCCGGGTAAGACGATTTGAACCTTTTGGCTTTCCATAGAGGATGAGATCATCAACGTGCGCACTACACAGACAAAACAGGCCGGCCCTATTCTGTTGTGTCCGTCTGCAGTAAAATGCAATGATCTAAGAATTTGTGTGCACGATCACACAGATCAGAATAGTGTGTCTTGTATATGAAATAATCGTAATATTTCTGAAACTATGCAGTGTCCAGATGACACTAGTCAAAATACCCCAGAAAAGAAAAGCAGTCTGTCTTCTGCTCAAAGAAGAGCAGAAATTCGTAGACGAAAATTGCTCATGAATTCCGAAGACAGAATGAACAGAATTGTGGGTTTCACCAAAGCTGAAGCTGAAAACAACGGTAAGGAAAACCTAAGTGGTGGTCAATGGTTTGCTGGCTGATAAGACAAGCAAATTGTTTAGCTTTTTAGCTTATATTAGCTTGCAGCTAGCTTCAATGGACAGTCAGACCATTACTCTGTTCCAGCTGGCTGATAGGCGTTATTAGATCAATCAATCACATTTATTTATAAAGCCCTTTTTACATTGGTAGTTGTCACAAAGTGCTTATACAGAAACACAGCCTAAACCCCCAAAGAGCAAGCAATGCAGAAGCACAGTGGCTAGGTACAACTCCCTTGAAAGTCAGAAACCTAAGGGACAGATCGAAATTTAATGTCAGTGTTGTAGCATGCCACCGGCATATCTCTATATCTGCGATTAGGCCTAAACTTCTCTTCCTTTATATAGACATTATATGTATTAAAATATTAATATCATAGTGGACACGTAAGTCTATAGGCCTATTTATGCAATGCCCTGATACATTTAGTGCTCAAATCTCAGACAGCTGAACCGTGAGGTGGACTATTATTGTTTTAGGAAAGTAGCCTAAAAAAAAGGCTATGAAGTTTTGCATATGCTACACATTGAAACACAAGGAATAGTGTTTTTGTAATTTGTATAGGCTGTTTTTAAGGACACGTAAATGTGGCTCATTTGGCCAACATCCCTCATTTATTGATGGCGCTGGCTGCACCAGGTTGGATCTGAATGCATATGGATGTCCGTTAAATTTCTCAAATGTCCGGTAAAATAAAATCTTCCCTGTCATGTTGTCCGGGGCCAAATTTTCCTGAAGGAAACTCTGAAATGGCATATTGTTTTTATGAAGATCTTAGAATATTCACATGAAAATCTGTCGCCAATTCGATGGAAAACTAGCTATAGACACCCTAAAGACTCTGGCAAGTGCTCTAGTCCAGTATCACTGATTACGTCAGCACATCATGGTTCACCAGCAGCCCCAAACATCTAAAGAATAAGCTACCAGCCAAACAAGCTTGTAAGAATTGTACTTTAACTCCCCCCTCATACTCATCTTTTCGTCTCTATCTCTGTAATGTGTCTGTATCTACAGTATGTAATTGTATATGTATTTATGTACAAAATGGGGACCACAAAGGAAATTAGTCCCCGACTTTATCGTGCAAATCCCAGTCGCTTAAACAAATCTTTGTGTATATATGTATTTTTTTAACTGACAAATAAAATTAATCAATCCAAACTGTGCAGTGGCCAATTGATGAATGGAAAGAGACATCTGTTTCAAAACACCAAAAAGTTTAATGACATTCGGAGATTGTCAAGCCAAGCCTTCGATACTGGGTAGGCCTACAAGGTAGGGAGGGATGTATTTTCTGTTTGTCGAGATTGGCATAGTCTATTTACTGTGGTGTTGAAAACACAAACCATGATATTGAAGTGTCCGAAGTCGGTATGCTTTGTTTATTGGTTGTGTGGTGCATTGGCAGAGAAACCTGTTGGTGGAACAATTGTTGCATATATTTTATATAATTATAAATATGGCATCAAAAAGTTGAAAATCTGATTTCCCCCTAGCTGATCATTGTCTGCAGACAGCTCTGATTGTAGTGTAATGAAACAGGAGAGTGAGCTCGTCCGTGGTGGTCGTTGAAACCTCAACCTTCTTGCCCGTAGCCCTGCGTGGCATCGACTGCCACAAAAGCATGCTGAAGTGGCAAAGTCGATATTCACTTTTATAAACACAGGGTCACTACAGTTATTGTTATTTGTAAACATTATTTTGAGTTAATTCTATGAGGGGGGATGGTGTTTCATTTATTTTACAGTACAAGGAGAGGGTCATGTGAAAACAATTTTACCGTTGGGGAGGGGGGTGCATTATTTTCTTTTTTATAACTAATTGAAACTTGCCGACCAGAAAAGCAAGGCGAAGCAATTCAGCAGGCATTCTTGAAAGTCAGGACAATCCTTGTCCTGTATAGAAACATAATTTTCTGTTGAAGAAATAGATTTTGCAAGCAGTAGGCATTTAGAATTAAATGTAGAGCGGAGCTTATAGTTACATGACATCACGTGCCCCGCGTACCTTCAAAAGTATTAGGCAATCATCATTTATTCAGAAAACCGTTACCATCATCATTTGTCTCAATAAAGAAAGTTTGACAAAACAGATACATTTTTTTGTCGATCTTTAGAAAGTTCTCCTATATCTGCCGTTAACATTACATATGGCGCAAAAATTTTTTTTGCGGCATTGCTTTTGTTGAATGAACTTGGGTCAATGGAAACCTGCCTAATGTCTTATAAACATCCATGTTCGTTTGAATTTAGAAAATGCTCTGTTATTAAATAAAATAAATATTTTGCTCCATGAAGTAATCCAACAATGTTTACGCCGCCATCTTGTCTATTTCAAATCTTCTCTCATTGATAAGGTTGGTCGAAAATTCACATTAGCCTGTTACAATCTACTAGCTACTGTGGACCAGTGGCGTGTATTCATGGATGCCAAGGGAAGCCAGGCTTCCCCAAAAAAGTTTTAAAAAATATATATATATGTTATTGATATTTTGTCTCTCTGTGTTTCATAAATTACCTTCAATTCACAAGAGGCTGAATGTATCTCACCTGAGAGAGCAAGTGAGCGAATGAAACAGCACCCCTCTCGTTTCAGTATGTGTAGCCCAGCTATCTGATGCTGTCTGGTCAAAAAGAGTATGACGTTGTTCCTGCCCATAGCATTGAATGCAAGGGAAGCCAGCGAGCATTTGATAAAAAGTATAAATAATAGCCAATCAGCGTTAAGCTAAACTGAGTGAGCTCAACTGTGAATGGTCCTGGTGCACCAAAAAAAAGTGTAATGGGAAGCCAGTTTGGATTTGGATTCACACCAATCACATCAGAAGCCAAACCTCATTGACAGAAAAAACTTGAATTGTTGCATCCTGTTGTGTCGTTGTCCTCCAGTGGCTAGCTAGCTAAAATGATCCCTTTCCTAAGTTAGCCATGGATGGAGATTTGGACTTGTGGTTTTACTTAGTTCTCCGTACTGGCCAATGATTATAACGGCGATTCTGATCCAACCATAAATTCATACATTGTGCCCCTGGCCTGAGAGGATGGAAGTTCAACATGTAGCTAGATGTAGTAGGCTAATGTTAACTAGCTGGCCTGGCGCATCGTTGCCCATGAAAGGAAGTTAGGCTAGTGAGCAATTACTTTAACCAGGTAGCCTAGGACAACAAAAACTAAAAGCACGTACTGTATGACAGAGTCATAGACCGTTTAGGCAACATAAAAGAGGAGGATGGCATTGGTGTTTCTCTACAAGTAGGGTGATTCAACATGTTTTTTCTACTTGCACGCACACACACACAGAAATCAGTACCATGGACAGCCATATTTAGCTTATGTTGATTGGACTAAATAGTTTTTGGTGTCTTTTAGTTGTCACTGTATTAGACTAAGCGTTAGATGATGTTGAAATGTCGAAGTTGAAATGGTGCCGCTATAGTGGAAGCAGCACCTGTTCTCTTTGCAACTTGCGGTTCTAAATCAATAGTTGTTTAGTAGGTCGAAAATGTCTGAATCAGTAACTCGCTTGACCATGCTGTAGGTCATGTAACTGTTTGTTACATGCAATATGTTTTGTGGAGTTCACCAGACAGATGTTGCTCTCCGGTTTTGCTCTCCGGTTTTGTGATTAAATAAAGGTGTGGTTAAATTTATTCTGCCACTTTCTTCTTATTAGCTCGGCCTTAGGCTTATATATAACGGTGTCAAGATATCTAACAGGTTATAGAGCAAACAACGCAATTATCACAACACACGTTGTAATAAGGCTTTTTTTCCTGGCTTGGCTTCCCCGTTGATTTTACCCGCTACTGCTATGGACCATGATGCAGTGAGCTAGAAAAGAAACCTTGCATCAGTGTGAAATGTGCTGCAGTTATGTAGTAATGACAATTGAGCGCTCTTCTGTATTATCTAACAAGCTTACTGATGTAAAGTTGGATTCAATTTATCCATATATAGAATCTCTATGGTCATATCACAGATAAATCAAGTTAGCCTAATACATTACACTGACAATGCCATGTCAATCCCGCCCTTGTCCCAACAGGAGCGTCCAGAAGTGTTACGGCACCCAGGTTCCATCTAGACTTGGACAGGAGCGAGTCGTGGTCAACATACCCCTCCCCCAGACTGTCTCCATTCCTCACAGAGGCAGTAGGCAGCAGCCACCCCTACAGTGATCTCCCAGAGAGGAGAGGGTATCCCCTGCCAGACAGCAGCGAGGTGCTGGGTGGCGGTGTGGACAAGGATGTGACACTGGGGGTCCGTCAGAGGCCACGGGGAGAGGCCCAGCTGGCAGCTGATGAGCCCAGCCGCTCCGGATCCCCATGCAGAGGGTTGCAAAAGTACCTGTCCCGCTTTGATGATGCCATGAAGCTCCGAGGCCAACTGGCTAATGAGAAACAAGCCCAGGATGCAGCTGGCTCTGACCCAGATGAGTTGGACTCCTTCAAGCTCTTCAGGCTTGTTGGCAGTGTCCTCCTCGCTATCTTTGTCAGGGTTTTTGTCTGCAAGTATCTGGTGAGTCTGATCAGAAAGGTCTTGTCCCTTCCCTTGAGAGCTTTGATTTTGTTCAATACCACTGACTTATTCTGTCTTAGATTCTGCCGCATGTATGGTAATATGAGAGTAAGGATTTGTTGTAGCAGTTCTTTAACTAGGCTATACTCTTCCCTTTTGCAGTCCATATTCGCACCATTCCTCACCCTCGAACTGGCCTACATGGGGTTGTACAAATATTTTCCAAAGGTAAGAGATACCGATTCACCATTAGGCATTACTATATAGTAAATGGAGCACAGATACACTACATGACCAAAAGTATGTGGACACCTGCTCCTCGAACATCTCATTCCAAAATCATGGGCATTAATATGGAGTTGGTCCCCCCCTTTGCTGCTATAACAGCCTCCACTCTTCTGGGAAGGCTTTCCACTAGATGTTGGAACATTGCTGCGAGGACCTGCTTCCATTCAGCCACAAGAGCATTAGTGAGGTTGACACTGATTTTGGGTGATTAGGCCTGGCTCGCAGTCAGCGTTCCAATTCATCCCATCCCTCTGTGTAGGCCAGTCAAGTTCTTCCACACCGATCTCGACAAACCATTTCTGTATGGACCTCGCTTTGTACACCGGGGCATTGTCATGCTGAAACAGGAAAGGTCCTTCCCCAAACTGTTGCCACAAAGTTGGAAGCACAGAATAATCTAGTGTGTCATTGTATGCTGTAGCGTTAAGATTTCCCTTCACTGGAACTAAGGGGCCTAGCCCGAACCATGAAAAACAGCCCCAAACCATTATTACTCCTCCACCAAACTTTACAGTTGGCACTATGTATTGGGGCAGGTAGCGTTGTCCTGGCATCCGCCTAAACCACATTAGTCCGTCGGACTGCCAGATGGTGAAGCGTGATTCATCACTCCAGAGAACGCATTTCCACTGCTCCAGAGTCCAATGGCAGCGAGCTTTACACCACTCCAGCCGATGCTTGGCATTGCGCATGGTGATCTTAGGCTTGTGTGCGGCTGCTCGGCCATGGAAACCCATTTCATGAAGCTCCCTACGAACAGTTCTTGTGCTGACGTTGCTTCCAGGGGCAGTTTGGAACTCGGTAGTGAGTGTTGCAACCAAGGACAGACACTTTTTACACGCTTCAGCACTCAGCAGTTCTGTTCTGTGAGCTTGTGTGGCCTACCACTTTGCGTCTGAGCCGTTGTTGCTCCTAGACCTTTCCACTTCACAATAACAGCACTTACAGTTGACCGGGGCAGCTCTAGCAAGGTAGACATTTGACGAACTGACTTGTGGGAAAGGTGGCATCCTATGACGGTGCCACGTTGAAAGTCACTGAGCTCTTCAGTAAGGCCATTCTACTGCCAATGTTTTGTCTATGGAGTTTGCATGGCTGTGTGCTCGATTTTATACACCTGTCAGCAACTGGTGTGCTGAAATAGCCGAATCCACTAATTTGAAGGGGTGTTCACATACTTTTGTATATATAGTGTATACCAAATGGGTCAGGCATATATGGTCATAACCTGTGTATTATGCCTACATACACGTGTAAAAACTTTCCGTCATCCACCAGGTTGAGAAGAAGATGCAAACCACAGTGCTGACTGCCGCGCTCCTGTTGTCTGGTATCCCTGCTGAGGTCATCAACCGCTCCATGGACACCTACAGGAAGATGGGCGACGTCTTCGCTGACCTCTGTGTCTACTTCTTCACATTGATCCTCAGTCACGAGATCGTGCTGTTGGTTGGTCCAGAAGAGACTTGAGACTCCCTGATGGACAGGAAGTCCCTGTGCTATGGCGTTGTCACAGAGGTGGACATTATGCTGACCCCTGATACTGATCCTTTACCCTACCTCCTTCTCCCTACCATTTCCCATCCTGAATCAGTAGAGAGGGGGTCGAGGTGCAATGTCCGCAGGTAGATAAGGGAGGAAGACAGAACTAACAGGTTGAACAAGGTAACATAACATTCATTTGTGTTCTGACCCTCTACCTCATCTGGTCGGAGTCCATAGGAGCTGCTTTAAGTTACCATTTATGTTGCTCTCTACGTTGTTTATACAAGGGGTCCAGTTACTTCTTAATTGTTGTTTTGTTTCAGGTGAATTGATTTATCTCATATGGAAGACAGGAGATGCATTTGTCATTCAGGGTTTTCTGAATGTTGCCTATGGTTTTTGCAACCTTGTATGCTTAAAGACATGGTTGACTTTATCTGTACATGTCTAAACTCTTATTACACAATTTACCTTGAATCTGGGCTAGGAGAAGGATTGCTTAGGATTGTCTTTTTGGAAAGTGTGTGTTGTCACTGCTATTCAATGTGGGGCAGTGGGATCTTATAAACGTGTATATCTTGGCTGGATAACTCTGATTGTGGAAATGTAATGTATTGCTTTTCTAGCTATACCAGCCTCACTCATACTCTCTCTGTGGCATGTTACATCATCTTTTAATCTAGCATTGCATCCTAATTAATTTATTCAGTTTGAGACAGGTTTTCTATGTAACTTCATTGGTGTGATCTCATTTGTCAGATTTACTTGATTGCTTTTCATAATGTTTTACAATTATTTATTTTTTTAAGTGTAAATGCTTTATTCATAGTTTATTATTTCATGTGAAATATTGAAATCGATATCAACACAAAGATATAGAGATGCTGCTTCTGGTAATAACATACTGGAATGAATATATTAAACTGTATTAAACCAATAAAACCTTGAAGCATTTCACAATTGTTTCTGGTTGAGTTTAGATCAGTCTGTCATCAAACTCCTATCTCAACAATGCTGCTTCAGGACCTGAGATGTAGGCTAAGTGTACATATGTGACCTTGGTCCAAAACTATAGATTTTTTGCTTTGTGGAGGGTCGTGTGTTTTTTCCCTGGTTTACATTTGCTCTTTTGCTCGTATTTTCCCTATAAACAATGGCTCGACTTACTTTTGATATTACCCTAATTATGTTTACGAACATTTGTGAAGGTTTGGTATGGTCTGGCTATTATTAAGCTTTACCTACTGCAGGCCTATGACATGAAGGCAGTGCATCCCGGCGCTCCAACTGACTCCATCAGTTGAACTTGAGGTGAGGAAGTCTGTTTCAGGTCTACCAGAGTTACTCCTATAATCTAACAATATAATGCTTATCTTTATACAAAATATACTGATTGAAATTTAACAAATTAGCCTCCTTCTATATCTGTATAGCAGACACAGCTATATACTGTATATACTGAACAAAAATATAAACGCAACATGTAAAGTGTTGGTCCCATATTTCATGAGCTGAAATAAAAGATCCCAGAAATATTCCATATTCACAAAAAGCTGATTTCTCTCAAATTTTGTGCACAATTTTGTTTACATCCTTGTTAGTGAGCATTTCTCCTTTGCCAAGATAATCTATACACATACAGTGGGGAGAACAAGTATTTGATACACTGCCGATTTTGCAGGTTTTCCTACTTACAAAGCATGTAGAGGTCTGTAATTTTTATCATAGGTACACTTCAACTGTGAGAGACGGAATCTAAAACAAAAATCCAGAAAATCACATTGTATGATTTTTAAGTAATTAATTTGCATTTTATTGCATGACATAAGTATTTGATACATCAGAAAAGCAGAACTTAATATTTGGTACAGAAACCTTTTACCTCATACGTTTCCTGTAGGTCTTGACCAGGTTTACACACACTGCAGCAGGGATTTTGGGCCACTCCTCCATACAGACCTTCTCCAGATCCTTCAGGTTTCGGGGCTGTTGCTGGGCAATACGGACTTTCAGCTCCCTCCAAAGATTTTCTATTGGGTTCAGGTCTGGAGACTGGCTAGGCCACTCCAGGACCTTGAGATGCTTCTTACGGAGCCACTCCTTAGTTGCCCTGGCTGTGTGTTTCGGGTCATTGTCATGCTGGAAGACCCAGCCACGACCCATCTTCAATGCTCTTACTGAGGGAAGGAGGTTGTTGGCCAAGATCTCGCGATACATGGCCCCATCCATCCTCCCCTCAATACGGTGCAGTCGTCCTGTCCCCTTTGCAGAAAAGCATCCCCGAAGAATGATGTTTCCATCTCCATGCTTCACGGTTGGGATGGTGTTCTTGGGGTTGTACTCATCCTTCTTCTTCCTCCAAACACGGTGAGTGGAGTTTAGACCAAAAAGCTCTATTTTTGTCTCATCAGACCACATGACCTTCTCCCATTCCTCCTCTGGATCATCCAGATGGTCATTGGCAAACTTCAGATGGGCCTGGACATGCGCTGGCTTGAGCAGGGGGACCTTGCGTGCGCTGCAGGATTATAATCCATGACGGCGTAGTGTGTTACTAATGGTTTTCTTTGAGACTGTGGTCCCAGCTCTCTTCAGGTCATTGACCAGGTCCTGCCGTGTAGTTCTGGGCTGATCCCTCACCTTCCTCATGATCATTGATGCCCCACGAGGTGAGATCTTGCATGGAGCCCCAGACCGAGGGTGATTGACCGTCATCTTGAACTTCTTCCATTTTCTAATAATTGCGCCAACAGTTGTTGCCTTCTCACCAAGCTGCTTACCTATTGTCCTGTAGCCCATCCCAGCCTTGTGCAGGTCTACAATTTTATCCCTGATGTCCTTACACAGCTCTCTGGTCTTGGCCATTGTGGAGAGGTTGGAGTCTGTTTGATTGAGTGTGTGGACAGGTGTCTTTTATACAGGTAACGAGTTCAAACAAGTGCAGTTAATACAGGTAATGAGTGGAGAACAGGAGGGCTTCTTAAAGAAAAACTAACAGGTCTGTGAGAGCTGGAAATCTTACTGGTTGGTAGGTGATCAAATACTTATGCCATGCAATAAAATGCAAATTAATTACTTAAAAATCATACAATGTGATTTTCTGGATTTTTGTTTTAGATTCTGTCTCTCACAGTTGAAGTGTACCTATGATAAAAATTACAGACCTCTACATGCTTTGTAAGTAGGAAAACCTGCAAAATCGGCAGTGTATCAAATACTTGTTCTCCCCACTGTATATCAATACACAGGTGCACCTTGTGCCGGGGACAATAAAAGGCCACTAAAATGTGCAGTTTTGTCACACAACACAATGCCACAGATGTCTCAAGTTTTGAGGGAGCATGCAATTGGCACGCTGACTGCAGATAATTGAATGTTCATTTCTCTACCATAAGCCGCCTACAATGTCATTTTAGAGAATTTGGCAGAACGTCCAACCAACCACAGACCACGTATAACCACGCCAGCCAGGACCTCCACATCCGGGAGGTATTTCTTTCTGTGCTAAAGCCCTTATATGGGTAAAAATTCATTCTGATTGTCTGGACCTGACTCCCCAGTGGGTGGGCCTGGCTCCCAAGCCTCCCAGGCCCACCCATGGCTGAGCTCCTGCTCAGTCATGTGAAATCCATAGATTAGGGCCTAATGAATTTATTTAAATTAACTGATTTCCTTGTATAAACTGTAACTCAGTAAAATCTTTGAAATTGTTGCATGTTGCGTTTATATTTTTGTTCAATATATATATATATATATACATATACACAGTGCATTCAGAAAGTATTCAGACCCCTTGACTTTTTCCACATTTTGCTAAGGTACAGACTTATTCTAAAATGGGTTAAATTGTTTTTTTCCCTCATCAATCTACACACAATTCCCCATAATGACTAATAAAAAACAGGTTTATAGGAATTTTTGCAAATATCACATTTACATAAGAATTCAGACCCTTTACTCAGTACTTTGTTGAAGCAACTTTGGCAGCGATTACAGTCTTGAGTCTTCTTGGCTATGATGCTACAAGCTTGGCACACCTGTATTTGGGGAGTTTCTCCCATTCTTCCTTGCAGATCCTCTCAAGCTCTGTCAGGTTGAGAGGGGAGCATTGCTGGACAGCTATTTTCAGGTCTCTCCAGAAATTTTTGATCGAGTTCAAGTCCGGGCTCTGGCTGGGCCACTCAAGGACATTCAGAGACTTGTACCGAATCCACTCCTGCGTTGTATTGGCTGTGTGCTTAGGGTCGTTTTTCTGTTGGATGGTGAACCTTCGCCCCAGTTTGAGGTTCTGAGCGCTCTGGAGCAGGTTTTCATCAAGGATCTCTCTGTACTTTGCTCTGTTCGTCTTTCCCTCGATCCTGACTATTCTCCCAGTCCCTGCTGCTGAGAAACATCCCTACAGCATGATGCTGCCACCACCATGCTTCACCGTAGGGATGGTGTCAGGTTTCCTCCAGACGTGACGCTTGGCATTCAGGCCAAAGAGTTCAATCTTGGTTTCATCAGACCAGAGAATCTTGTTTCTCATGGTCTGAGAGTCTTTAGGTGCCTTTTGGAAAACTCCAAGCAGGTTGTCATGTGCCTTTTACTGAGGAGTGGCTTCCGTTTGGCCACTCTACCATAAAGGCCTGATTGGTGGAGTGCTGCAGAGATGGTTGTCCTTCTGGAAGGTTCTCCCATCTCCACAGAGGTACTCTGGAGCTCTGTCAGAGTGACCACCGGGTTCTTGGTCCCCTCCCTGACCAAGGCCCTTCTCCTTGAATTGCTCAGTTTGGCCGGGCGGCCAGCTCTAGGAAGAGTCTTGGTTGTTCCAAACTTCTTCCATTTAAGAACGATGGAGGCCACTGTTTTCTTGCGGACCTTCAATGCTGCAGAAATTTTTTCGTACCCTTCCCCAGTTCTGTGCCTCGACACATTCCTGTCTCAGACCTCTATGGACAATTCCTTTGACCTCTTGGCTTGGTTTTTGCTCTGACATGCACTGTCAACTGTGGGACATTATATACAGTGGGGGAAAAAAGTATTTAGTCA